CGCAGCGCGGCCATGCCCGCCCCCGCCGCGCCCCGCCGCCTGGCCGCCGCCGCCCCCGCCGGCAAAGCCAAGCTCACCCACCCCGGCAAGGCCATCCTGGCAGGTAAGCTCCCGCCGAGCTTCTCGTCCCGGGTGGGGTCGCCGCTGCCAGCGTGGGCATCCGTGTTTGGGCGGAGGTTTGCCGCCGCCCGCCCCGGGGGAAGAAGGCAGGGAGCTCCGCCGCGGGTGCTCCGCTGGGAATCGCCCGGCCCCGCTCGGGGGTCGCCGCGCTTTGGGGTTGGGGGGGGTCCTCCCGCCGGGCGAGCCCAGCAGCCCCAAAGCCAGCCCCGCAAAACGTCCCGGTAGCCCCGGGGTAAGGGCGGCCCGCGGCGGAACCGGGATTTTTTTCCTTCGCTCCGACAGATGCATCGTCAGCTCTGCGGGCTGCCGCTGCTCCTGGCGGGGGTCGCGGCGAGGTTGTTCCTGCAACCTGTGGCCTTGCCGGGAAGGTGTCGGTAAGGCAGGGTGGGCACGGGGCTTGCGGCCGTCGCGTTGTTCAGCAGGGCGGATTTTCACGGGAGCAGGAGGGTGTCGAACCGACGGAAGAGGCGGCAGCGGGGGATCTCCTCATGCTCCCTCTGAAGACGTTCAGGGAGAAAGCTGAAGCGGCAGCGCTCCGGTCGTTCCTGCTCCAGTCGCGTCTCGCACGCTGCTTTGATACGGCTCCTCTTACGCTTCTTGGTCCCTCCTTTGTGTCTCGGCATCAATCCCTGTGGATCAGGGCAGGTTTTCCCGTCCAGTTCTGACCAGTTCCGTGGGATCTAAAGAGGCTCCAAGTGCAGCAGTAACTGCAGAGTTAACGCGCTTCCTCCTGCTTGTGGCTGGTTTGAGCTGAATGGAGTCCAAGACAGTCGCAGGCTTGTTAAACTCCTTTGTAGCCCTTCATTAGCTCCCCCGTTTCCCTTGCTGCTCACAGGACAATTCCCAGAGTGGAGATCAGTGTCTTCCCTCCGAAATGAGCCATTGCGGTCTCGACGTGATTGGCATGCTTAGAGCTTTTGTGTTTTCCAGCCAATTCCTCCTCCTACGATTGTGCCTTTGTTCATCTGTCCAACTCCCAGCTCCCTTCCAAGGGCAGAGCTCCAGCCTCCTGTAGCGGGGACCCAGGAGAAGCAAGGCTTTGCCCTCCCCGGCTGGGCGCAGGGAGCCAAGCCCTTACCGTTCTGGCTCTGCCCGCCACCACCGGCCCCTGCCTCGGCAGGCGGCCTCCCCTCGCGCGGCTCCGGAGAACTGCCGGGGACGGCCGCGCTGCGGGAAATGGATGCGAGCGCTGGAGCGTGCAAAGGGTGACGAGGCCTCCCAGTGTCACGTCGCCTGGAGGGGTCTGTGCTGTCACCTGGGCCGAAGGGTCCGGGCATGAGGAGGAAGCAGCTGCGGCCAAACGAGAGGGTGTCCTCTTGTTCAAATGAGACCTACGGTGAGGCCAGGCTCCTCTGGAGCTCTGTGCTCCTCAGGGGTCTCAAGACTTGTGCTGTGTTGTGTCCCCCCCCCGCAGTGGGTTGTTAGTTCAGGTCTTTTCTAATCCCCTTTGATTTAGAGGTCTTTTAAATGAGATTTAATCTACACTTAGGACAGGAAAGATGGGCTGTTTGCTCTCCATCCAGCCTTCGCAGTCTTTCTCAACTCACTGCCCGTGTGTGGCGTGTCAGGTTGTCATTCCCCGGGCCAGTGCATCAGGAGACTTTCATAGCCCTTGTGTAGGTTCGTTACGGGGGATCATCAGCTGTAGATAGCTTATCGACATACTCTGAAAGAAGCTGCCGCAGACTTGCCCTGCTCTCCCCTGGCAGGAAAGTTGCCGTGGGTGTGCCTGGAAGCTGTTCTGGCGTAAAGGGAGGATCATGGTGCTTGTGGCCTCTGCCAGGTGTCAGGCTGGGCAACGCAGCACAAAGCTGCATATGCCCCTGCTTGGAGGAGCCCTTCTGGGTCCACGTGAGCCTGCAGGGGTGGAAGAAGGACCCTATTGAGATGCTAGTCCTCTCCTCGCATGCACCAAATCAGAGTAATTGGTTAATGGGCAGAAATCCAGCCAAGCCTCTATGGTATCTAATTGTATTAGAGAACCACATAGATGGGAGAAGGCTGCTGTTAACTCCCTGCCTCCCGCTCTGCTCGGCCCTTCAGCCCCTTCTGGACATATGCAGTGTCATTTGTGGCTGTCTCTCTTGACTTTAAGGGGTTTGCTGATTGCTCTCAGGGTTTCTCATCTGACATCTGTCTGCACAACGGGTGTGTGCTCCAAAACTCAATCTTCTGGAGAGCTGGAGGTGTTCAAGAGAGGCCATTCCTACTGCGCTGTGCTTCATCAGCCTTGTACTGGTGGAATTAAATAAGCAGCCATCATCCCACCCTGGGTGCATATCTGCTCCCAGACCCAGTGTGTAACTGAGATTCGCTGCCGGGGAGGCACAGCTCTCTCGCACTGCCCAGACCTGAGCAGGCTGGGGCCGGCTTTTTCCTTAAGAGACACAAGTGAAGCCCTGGCTGCCAAGAGCTCTTGTCATTCAGTTATCGCAACAGACAAACGCAAAGTTAAAAATTAATTTGCTAATGGGCTCTCGTTTGTCCAAGCAGTTGTTGTGTGCCAAGGCAGCACTTCACCTTGCTGTGACCATACAGCCGCAGCCGATGCTGCGGCCGTGTGTGGCCTGAGCGCACGAAGGCAGCTTGGCCATCCTGGCCGGGTGGGTGGGTGTTGCTGCCAGGACTTGGTCTTGGGGCTGGTCCGTGCAGACTGGGCTTCCAGAGGGCAGAGCTGAGTGGCTGTGGGTCCCTGTCGCTGTTCAACCCCTACACCCCCTTTGCAAGGGTAAGAGCCCCCCAGGCTCTGAACTGATGGTATAAAGTTGGTTTGCGGGACCTGGCACTGGATCAGAAGTGACATGGCTGTAGGACACTAAGGTTTGGTATCACGTGGCTTAGCTTAAACTCAGTTAAAAGACTGGTAAACATGCAGGCTTTATGCTGAAACGGATATTATCCGTGTCTTTCTAACTCATCTGCTGGCTCAGTTACTTGTTGTAAAGCTGGCATAATTTTCTTGTGAACTCATGAGCTGGTTTGAGGGCCAGCGTGTGTCTCTTCTGCTGGGTAATAACCCGTTAGCAGGCAGACCCAGGAGTTCAGCTGTGTCTCCAGCTTCCTTAGCCAGCTTTCAGTTTCTGTGCACTTGTTTCCAAACAAACCCTTTAGCCAGCCGAACTCCTGTCCCTCCTACCAGCCTCCTGCAGGGCTGGGTGCTGCCAGTCCCCTGCACCGCTCCCAGCATGGGGCCATGCTGTGGTGGGCAAGTGGGGAGCTCAAAATAAAGGCCACAAGTGCTGAGGCAGGAGTGCTGGCTGCAGAGCTGGCAGAGGCGGTCACCCCCGTCTTTCCCCAGATGGCTCCTTGCTGGATTTTCGGGCACCGCAGTGCCCTTAGGTCAGGTTGAGCCAGCCCGCGGTGGACTATTTAGAGCCCAGCACAAATGGTCCTTGCCATTTTGCAGGCAGGCAAACCCCCGCACCCCTGTCCACCTCTTGAAAACTTTGCTCCTGGTTAGCAGGGGCCGTTTGATGAAAGGCTTTGCCCGCCCTGCCCAGACTTAAGTACAGTCTTACTCTGTTTTTAGCCAGCTTTGAAGCCTGGGGCCTGCTCCCTCCCACGGAGAAGCTCCCAGCTGCCTTGCTCTTTGCATGGTACCTCGGCTCGCCCGGGGGCTGGTGCACAGTTGCTATTCCTGCCTACACCTAATCCTGCCTGGTCAGAGAGGCAGGACGCCTGGATGCTGTCCTACATGGTGCTTGATTTGGAAAGAGCTCGCAATGGTCGTGGCTGCTGCTCTGGTGTTTGCTACAAAAATTGAGTACGGCTGGGAAATAGCAGTGACGCGCACCAAGGTCCCAGGAGGAGCATGGGCAGAGGGGAAAGGGACTCTGCAGGGAGAAAGAGAAGGGCCTGCAGGGTAGGGCATGAAGCACACATTTAGCAAGGAGTGCAGGATCACATGAGAAACAAAGCAGTAATTAGAGCTTCAGTTTCCTCTTCTTTGTTAATCTCTTGATACGATCTTTCTTAGGAAATGCTGTACCTACGGAGGAGAGGAGTCAGGGGCTGGTGCGAAAGCTGAGACTTGCTTCTTGCAGAGTAGGACTCCTTTCCCAAAAGTCCTGAGTCCACGTGGGCTTCCAGGGCCATTGCCCTCCTGGGAGGGAGGTTGTGCTGCTGGGAATGGCTGTGGTCTGGCATGCTCCCTGGCTTTTAGATGGATGCCTGGTGCTCGCAGCAGGGTAGGGGATATTCCCGCCTCGATGCCGAGCTGGGGGAGCCAGGTGGTGGGCTGAACATGGCCGTGGGGGAGGATTGGTGAGCATGGAGGGAACCAGCCTTGCCAGGTCTGGTGGCCCTTGGTGCGTCACGCCTGGCTGTGGTTTCCCCTGGGGTTGCCTCCTCTGGCTGTCATCTGTTTGGGGAGTGGGGCAAAAGGAGCACGCTGGCCTTGAGTGTGTCCTTGCCTGTCTGTGAGCCCTCGTGGACTGGAGCTGCTGTGGAAATATAGAGCAGCCCCAAGGCTTCTGGTGCGGGGAGGCTGTCAGCCCCAGGACTGGGAAACCACATCGGGGTGACCAGCTTCTTCAGTCTGAATGAGTTCTGTGTGAGCTGGGGTTAACCCTGGGCTTTGAAATGTGAGTTTCTGAGATTTTCGCATGCCTGATGCTCTGCTTGACATTCTGCAGGCAACCATTTTCTCTGGGTTGACGTAAATGATCGGAAGGAGCCATCCGTCTTCCCAGAGGCGATGAGCACCGTGAGCTGACAGCTCAGGGATGTTGCAGTGTCTCTCATCTCTTGATGGCCTTGTGCGGTGCATGCCAATGCAGCCTCCCTGCTCCTGCATGGGCGGTGGTGACCCTGTGCTTGTGCCCTGAGGTCTCAGGTCACCTCCTGACAGCAGGGGTTGATTTTTTTGCCATCTCTTCTCCCTCCCTGTGCTCCAGAGCCTGGTACAGCAGTCATTCCCCTGTGCTGGTGGCAGGGGGACCAGAGCTTGTCCCCGGGGAAGCCTCAGTCCCAGCAATGGCTCCT